TACCACATATATTTTTTGAAATTAACTATTACATATTCTAGTAGGCTATAAATTGTTTAAAATACAGTATTTAGGAGTCATTTTTATGAACTGAGCCACTCTCCTTTTAGTATATTTAAATGCCTCTGTGAGGTGATTATTGAATGTGTTCAACTTGATTTCCTCATAAAAGTCTGCATAGGGGAGGTGAGTGTTCTTTAGAAAAGTAAAGATCTGATTTTGAAAAGTGTTTAGTGTTTGTGTCTCAGAGGCCATTTGCGTGTTTTAATCCTCTTTTTTTTTTTTTTTTTCCCCCTTAGAGGGTTTTGAATCTTTCTTCAGGTTGAATATGTTCCTTTGGAGAATTATTTTAGGAAATGCCGCTCTCTCTGTATGTGGGAGCATTTAACTTTGGTTTGGTTTATTTTAAAAATGCTTTCTGTTAGATGTTAAAAAGAAAACAAACTTTAAGTCAAATGCATTTTGTTCGTGTGCAGAGCTGTTGCAAAGCTGTTTCCCATACTAGATGTTTCTGAATCAGGAATTCACATAATAACGAAGTCTGCTTATTTTGGTTCTCCACAAAGGTTTGTTGTATGAGCTTAAAATAAGGCTGCAGCTGATCTGTGTAACACATATTAACTGTTGATTTAGTGTAAGCACGCGTCTGTGTCTCTCATTTCGGATCAGCCCAGCAATCGGCATGCCGTGCAGCAGCCATCTTCTTTTCTACTTTATTAAATCTCTGTCAATTATAAATATCAAGGTTTTACATTAATGTCAAGATAGTGCATCAAAAATTCATGGAATATGTGACTTTTTCCAAGGGTATTTAATACTTAATGCATTTGTGTCATTTTTCTTTCCAGAGATATTGACAGGTTTTATTAAGTGTTTGTTAGGGAGATTTCATTTTTATCAGGGGACTATAAAGAGAAGCTGCATGCTAAATCAATTTTTTAAAGCCAGAATATTGTTCATTTTTTCATCTTCAAACTCTTGTAATCCATAGGTTTTATTTAAATTTCCTCTCGGTTTATTTTTGTTTTATGTGAGTGATAGTTCAAGACAGAACTTTAATAAGGATCAAATATGCTGACTGTAGTGGTTTTTAATTTCCTTAAGCATAGCTACCAGACCCGTGCAATATGGTAAATTCTTCAAAATGTCATACTTACATATTTAGCAATATTACTTCTTTTTATTGAAGCCAAACAAGCGATTTTAGATATTAATCTTTCCCAAACACAGTGATTATTTTGTATTAGATACAATATTACTGTGTCTCATCTGGAATACCTCCTTTTGGCAGAAAAGGGAGCGGAAGAGGACTTCACTGGGTTGCCTGTTGGCGTAAGGAAACTGGAGTCTTCTTTGAAGAGTAAAAGCTCTTTCGGGCTTCAAGACTGGTTATGAGCTTGGCCAGCTCTTGGTTTCTCCAACTTCAGATATTTACAGTGCTCAAGAAAGCAAAAATATCAGTCACTTGAAAATCTGCAGAAAACTCTGTGGCTAGTTTCTAACCCTGTCTTTATGGGGGTGGGAGGTGGGGAGGGAGCGAACGCTTTGGCAGATCCCAGACCTGCCCCTGACACTGCGTGGTGGCGCTCCTGCCATCCCACGTAGATCCGCGTCTCGGAAACGAGTCACAGCTGAAGCTAATTGGGCACAAAGTGTAAGCTTTCTGTTTCAATAAACTTTTATTTCTGAAGTACAAGTTAGGAATGTGTTCTCTTGGAGAAGATAGGTCATGAAAAACAAAATCTTGATCAGATTTTGCTTTATAAAGTGAGGAGCGTTTGTTATCTTGCCTGTAAAGGATGACCTTAAAGACTTGTTATCTAAGGACATTTTAGGAACTTTCAAATAACTTTGGGTTAGTATTAACATTTTTGCAAGATGTGGTTTTAAACCTTAACTTGGTCTTCAACAGGAAAAAGACTTGGTGTTTAAAAAAAAAAAATCATTCTGTCCAGAGCTTCAAGAGTGTGTGAAAGAGGTGTTTTTCTTATTCTTGTTCATTTTTTCAGGATATGTGAAAATAGCTCTTTCCAGAGTTAAATGTTTTTCACACGCAAATCATTTTCGGTATTTCAGTGGTTCAAGATTCTTGTAAAACTATCGTACAATACTTTTAAGAGGTAGGGTAGGTTTTTTGTTGTTTTGTTTTTTTTTTTTTTTACAAAACAAATTTTGCTTGAGTAAAGCTGTAACAGTAGCTCTTGTAGATAAACCCTAGTTTGGGTATACGGTAAGTTGTTGTTACGTAGGCCTTACCCCGGGAAGGAATTCAGGGATTGAGGAACTCTGTGGCTCTGCCTATTCTAATCTGAGGCCAGTAGGTGGCGATCGTGCCACGTGGTGAGAGCCCTGTCGAAATGGAAGGCGTTTGCCTTTCTCCATAGTGTCAAATTAAATTGGGCTTCAGCATAACTGTTAAGTGCCTGTGTTCTGTGGCAGAATACCTTTTTATATCAGAATTATATCAGGATTACGTACAAGAGGCACACCTTAATTTTTAAGCATGTAAGAACAACTATTTCTAACAGATTCTGCAAATACCGTGTCACCCTACAGCCAAAATAATTGTCAAAATTAATCTGAAGAAAGCATTTGTTTATTTCGCCCCCTGAGTTGTCTTTAGGACTTCATCAGGACAGTGAGTATGAACTTCTGTTTTTGGTAAGAAAGGTATTTAAACAGGAGGAAGGGAAACATTTTTGGAGAGTTAGTTTTCCGTCTTTTTGGCCTTCTTGAGGAGGTCGCCTTATTTGAGTAAGGTTGCAGATCGAAAGAGGTTTCAGAGTCCTGAGTGGTGGGAGACCCTTGCTCAAGTCGTTTTGACATTCAGCATTCCAGTTTTGAAAATTGTCATCCTTCCTCTCATTCAGTAAGTCAGACTTTTTTGGGGAGGGTGGGTCAAATTCTTAATACCTATGGGATTTAGTGTTGGAATTTATTAACTCTCAAATACCATAGTGCATTCCACAGTTTAAATGAATTAAAGCATTTTAAAATAGCAGAAACAATAATGCTTCCCACCTCCTAGAGTTTGAAGAGCAATGGTGTGTGCGTGCCATCCTGCCCCCGTCCGCGGTGGCACAGCTGTGAGGTGTCACCGTGTTGTAAGTGAGGGGGTTTCAGCAGCCGAGGCCCTTGCTGTGGTGCTTCTTATCCGCACAGTGGTTCTGGGTTTGTGGAGGGACAGTTCTGAATTTGTACTTTTATAAGGAAAAACCTGAATACTGTTACGGTTAAATTTTATAAAGGTAAATGGACAGCATCTTTAGGGTTCTTAGGACATGGCCTTTGCATTTTCATTCATTACAGAGAAAAGGGGAAGAAGCTTCAGGCTCTGGGATTCTTGCATCTTCACTGGGGTTGACCAAAGCATCAGGTTTTGTTTTTTGTTTTTTGTTTTTTTCTCTTTTTTTAAAAAACAGAGGTAGAAAATCCCGATCTACCACCAGCAGCTAGAAATTTACTCTGGGCAATATGTCATTTTATATATTGACTTGAAACATACCTTTTTAAATTTCATCTGTGTTCCTGCAGCATTTCCAAATTACACACATATAATGTTATATTTTGACTTTTCTTCCGAAGGGTTAAAACTGGGTGAAGAATTAGACGGGATGGCAGGCACCTGGGAGCTAACACCCAATTGGCAGCCTTTGTAATACATAATTTGCCTAAAATTGCGCACTGAGCACAAGCTTTTGTTTTCTAATTGATTTACGGTTTGAGCCACTTTTACCTCATCCCCTACTGTCCTGTGTGCGGTGCCAGCGAGTACATTACAGGGAGCGATGATAAATGGCCGTGCACTTGTGATGCTAATGTGTCAGGAGTCCAGACTGCGTGCGCACTGAGCTCCGAGCGTGAACCGCGGTGCAGAGACCGGACAGCGGGGTCTTGTCGTGGGCAGAGATGGCCGTGTGCTCACTTGGTCACTTGCTGCCGTCTGTCAGAGCGGAACTGGAACCAGAGATTAAAATTATGCTGTTACAACTTTTTTCTTTTAAAGATTTTATTTATTTATTTGATAGAGAGAGATCAGGACCGGGGGAGCAGCAGAGAGAGAGGGGGAAGCAGGCTCCCCGCTGAGCAGAGAGCCCGATGTGGGGCTCGATCCCAGGACCCTGAGATCCTGACCCGAGCCGAAGGTAGAGACTTAACCCACTGAGCCCCCCAGGCGGCCAAACAACTTCTAATTTCTTAACTGAAACAAAAAGTTTTTGCCTGCTCTAAAGGTCCAAGGTGGGAGGGTTGTTGTGATGAGAGAAAAGGAATGGATAAAACATTCTCGTAAGTGTGAGGTTTGGGACATTTTTACCAAATGTTGTTTTGTCCAGAGGGAAAGAAATGTAGTCCCAATTTAAATGGGCCAATCTCTGTTTTCTCGTTGCCTTGTTTGTAAAATTTATGATTTCACAAAACTAGTTTTCTTGATTCTCTGTACTTGAGCCACACGTACGTCTACGATTCATTTGCACATAAGTTGATTTCCATCCAAATGATTTAAGTTGGAGATAAATGAGAGAACCTTCAATTTATTAGAGTGCCTTTAATTGTTCCTTTTATTGATATAAGATGAGATTTGCAATGTATTCCTGAGGGATGTGCGGCTTGTTATGGGGCGAAGATTCGAGAAAGGCCAGGACAGCCCCAACTTTGGAGGCTCCCGGTTTCCATTTGGATCAGACTCTCAGAATGTGGGTTGCCCACCGTTCGTAAAGTCAGTCCACCTTAAATCCTCTTTCTGTGGTGTCTGTGGGTTCTGGTATCGAAATATGAGGAAGCAGATTTATGGCGGCTGCTGGGCACAACAAATTAAGTTGACAGTGATGTATGAGAGCCGGAGAGCATGGTGATCCCTCAGTAGTTCGGCTGGACGCCTCCTGCTTCATTTGGCTCTTGTTAGGATCTGTTAGGCAGCTAAATAATGAAATTCTGCTGACTGATTTCTGTTTTCCCCTTTTCTTTTTTCACGTCTGCTTTCTGAAACTTCTAATTCCCAGACCCATCCTCATGCCAACAAACTGCCCTTGAAAGATGCTTTCACTTATGAGGACTACAGGTTGGTGTGGGGAGCGCGCGCGCGTGTGTGTGTCTATGCGTGTGTGTGTGTGTGTGTGTGTGTGTGTGTGTGTTGGGGGTGGCAAGGGATGGATGCGGGGTGTGGTTGTTTGCATCTTTGGTGTGTGTTGTGTGTTGTGTGTGTTGGGGGTTGGTTTCTGAGTGATCTGGGGATCTTGGAAGTGGGAAGTACTTCAGTAAGAGGTGTCGTGCTGTGACCAGTTAAAGCCTCCGGACAGGTAGTCCTGCCGAAGTTCTAATGGCAGCTGGGTAAGGATCGGCATTTTCATAACCACACAAATTGCCCCCCCCCCCCGCCCCGTAGTGGTGGGGTTAGCTGAAGTGGGCAAGTGATAGTGGAGATGAGCTTTTGTGTGGGGTGGTCATGAGGACTTTTTCCCCTTTATAAATAGACTATTTCAGTGTAAAGTGAATTTTATAAATATTTAAATTCAGTTAATTAACATATAGTATATTATTAGTTTCAGGGGTAGAATTCAGTGATTCTTCAATCGCGTATAACATCCAATGCCTCCTCCACCACGTGGCCTCCTTAATGCCCGTCACGCAGTTACCCCGTCCCCCCACTCACCTCCCCTCCAGCAGCCGTGTTTGTTTCCTAGAGTTAAGTGTCTCTTATGGTCTGTCTCCCTCTCTGATTTTATCTTATTTTATTTTTCCCTCCCTTCCCCTATGATCCTCTGTTTTGTTTCTTTAATTCCACATATGAGTGAAATCATATAATTTTTTAAACAAAAAGACTTAATTGTGCAGCATAATAAAAAATAACATGCCGCATCTGATAGACTTCTTAGGGGGTTTCTGGTCAAAAAGGAGTTACGTTGTTTGCCTTTCACTGAGGCTTTGTACAGGTGCAGAGTCGGCATTTGGGTAGGAGAAGGTGGTGTGGGCTCAGGGGCGGGGTTCCCGGCTGTGGTGAAGATTGGAGGCCTGGAGATCTCTGTCCCCGGTCCTCCTTCCAGACCCTCTGTCTCCCTGGAACATCCTCCCTTAATCCTCACCCCTGAGTTTTCTCTGTCTCCTTTTCCCTTCCAGGTCCCCATCCCCTCGGCCCTAGATTTAATTTTAAGTGATGGTGAAGGCAGGCAACCATCCCCTGGGGCGCTTAGGAGAAGGTTTTGAACATTGGTGAGACGTCAGACAAACTGTAGTTTCTGGCTGAGGTCTCACTGCACTGGGCTCTGGCATGTGCTTACCATAGTTCACCTGTCTTCTGGTCGTTACAGGTGGGCAGTCTCTTCTGTTATGACTCGACAAAACCAAATTCCCACGGAGGACGGTTCCCGGGTGACCCTGGCGCTGATTCCGTTATGGGACATGTGCAATCACACCAACGGCCTGGTAATGACCCCCTCTGCGTTGTGTTTAATCCGGGGGGCTGGGGTGAATAAGCTTTAGAGTGGCCATTCCACCGACAGATCAGGCCCCTGTACTGCCGCTCTCCATAGGGAACGAGCAGAACCAAGCCGAGACACCCCTCCAGCCTCCCACAAAGAGAAGCTGGTGTTTTTCTCTCTCTGCATTTGCTTAATCCTAAAAACCAGGAACTTGAATCTTACTCCACTTTCAAAAACCACAGTGAGCTGCATTTATTTGCTAAGCCATAATTCCAGCCTAAACATTCATTTTCTTATGTTATTGAACCACAGGCTAAACCAAAGTTGTTTTTTTTCTTACTCTCCTTAAAATGCTGATTGATTGAAGGAAAAAAAACCCAACTTTCTTCTTTCTTGTTTTTCCTTTTCTGTTCCTTGTTTTCTTTCTTTGCTGACTACATTCCCAGCCGTGTGCATTCTCTGATTGCTTCCTGTTCCCTCTCCCTCCGCCTGACACGCTGCCACATCCTCGCCCCGCTTAGTAACCTGCTTTTGTTCAGGAGCCGCTGCTGGTTTCCCTGGTGCTGGGGCAGGAGGAGGCGCACTGGGGCGTTTGGCTCCTGGCCTCGCCTGCAGCGTTGGCATCTCAGGCGTGGGAAGCACCGGGTAGGAGACACTAAGAAAATAAGGAAATTTGGGGATGATTGTTATTACGACGCGGGAGGGGAGGAAGCCGCGGAAGCCAGCTCCCTGTTCCTCCGCGGTCTTTGGATTCCTGGCAGTGGCAGAGGTTGACACGCTCTCTGTGCTGAGGTGGTTGTCTGAGCACGATTTCCTGATATCCGTGTGCAGAAATGTGATCTTCAGAATATTTTGCATTTTTAAGCATTATGCGGGAATACCAGCTTGGTTACCTTTTCGTTCATTTTGTTCTCAACATCAGCTCCCTTCATTATTATTAGCAGTCCTATGAACAGGCTTAAAAAATGCTGTGAGTATTTCACATCTAAACCCACAAAACGGCCAGAACACATGTTAACCTGTGCCAGACACTTGACGCTAGAATATGCTGGTGCTAATTTGGAAAGGTGTAGCAGCAAGCGTACTCGCGTAGAGAATGAAGAGCCCCCGCCCCCCATACTTGTATTTCTGCCCTAGTTTAGCTGTGCTTCATGTAGTTAGCCGTGGGAAGGAGCAGCATGTTTTATTTACTTCCATTCTTTTTTTTTTTTTTCCCCTTCAGGGCTACCTTATACTGGTTACAAGATCAAACTTTTAAAATTTTTCAAAAAGCTTTTAATGGTTGACTGTAGTATTTTGCTTCACTGGGTCCCAAACTTGATTGATCAGTAGAGTTTATTTTTTTATTTCTAAAATTTAAGAAGCTCCGTACTCTATTGTAAACAAACAAAAGGAGTTTAACAGATGCCCCTGTGGGAATAGAATGCGGAGGCTCCCTTCCCCGCCAGCACCCGCCAGCACCCGGCCTCCTCGTGGCCCGGGTCCCTCCGCTCAGCACCGTCCAGGTACACGGTCCGCGGTTTTGTGCAAGCCTTTCTCTCCTTTGTGTGCATTTGCGCCCTCACACCCTCACACTCTCACACCCATGCTGGTGCTGGTGTTGCTTTCGTGTAAATGGGATTAAACTATTCATTCTTTCCTGCTAAGAGTAAAAAACAAAAAGTTAGTTCATCTCAAAATAAAAACAACGCACCGGAGACAAGCACGAATGCTGTCTTTCTCTAGCGCTGTTCGTGAAGTCTGCGTCCCGCCTCAGAGCTGGCGAGGCCTTGCTGGCCTTCAGCAGGTGTCTGCGGGATGGTAGTGCCTTTTCTTACAGCGGTGGTTTTCCCTGGATGCCGAACTCCGTACACCTCGCTTCAACCATTTTCCGTGGTCGTTCTGAGACTTCAAGGGAGATTGCGTCTGATAGAATTTGAGAATCTACTTTAACACTATGAAGTAGTATATCACATTTGTTAACAGTTCATCTCTTTTTAAAAATAAAGTCCTTGAAATGAAGGCTTGGCTTTTCAGACAGTCGACTGTCCTGTGTGTGTGTCTGTCCTGACATTCGTTGTTTGTCCGTTCTGTCACCGAGGGAGTAGGTAGAAATTTGTAACCCGGCAACGCTGTGCTTCTGACAAAAACCTGGTTCTGGGAGTAGAGATGGGAGAGCCGAGCATGTGGCAGTAATTCCAAACCAGGAGTGGCAGGGAATCAGGGAAGAACAAAGAGGGCAGGGTTGGCACCTGGGCCAGAGGTGGCGGCACATGTGAGCCCATTTCCTAGCCACTCGGAGAAACAGAGTAGACTCAGAAGAGTTCATGGACATCATACTAAATTGTAAGATGTGATGTATCTTTCAGTTCTGCGTGGCTGGTTTAGAATTAAGCTGCAGGTTTCCTTTCTTGAGCTGGTTCCGTTTGTGCAGAGAGGGACACGCCAAGTGGTTTATAGGCCACTGTGTCCATTCCAGTAGTTAAAGCGTGTTGGAGGAACCAGCCCTTGTATTGAGTGTGTAACTCTCCCCGTCGGGATAGAAGGGCCTTGGGAAATTCAAGCAGAATTGAGAGAGTCTCTTTTTCAAGGTCTTTCTAGTTGAGTATTAAAACATCCAAAACATTTAGGTTTATATAAGACTTCCAGTCTCAAAGTGAAAGCCCAGGTTTTTATAAGTAGCAGACAAGGCTCCCTGCTCAGCCTGTCCCCGTTATACTCCCAACACACACAGGTCTGAGACCCTGTGCTTCCTCACATGCCAGCACATGCCCACCTCAGGGCCTTTGCACGGGTTGTTTCTGCTGCTTGAAACACTTACTCCTCTGATATCCACAAGACCTCTCACAGAATTCCTCCAGGCAGGCTGCCCTGTATAACATCGCCATGCCTCCCCTTCTGTGAGCCTACCTTCCCGACCTGTTGTCTGTCTCCTGTGTTTCTTCCTATTTTTTTGTTTGTTTGTTTCTTGTTGGCCCTTCCCTGTCCCTCCTGCTTCCCTGACTGCGCTCCTGCTGTCTGCTGCTCCTGCCAGGTCCCGTGTAAAAACACGCTGCAGCTGCAGACTTTCAGGGCTGGGAGTTCATGGGCGGTTCCTATTCCATCCTTATTATCAGAATCATGTTTTGAGTGATTTTGACAGTGGGCAGGATCTTCACAGAGCTGATGTTATCAAGTGTCGTAACTGTGCTGTGAGCGAAGACGGGCCGGATACCTGGCTGCGTTCATTTGTCGTGGCTTTTGTGTCTCTGTTGGTTTGCAGAGCAGAAGCGTGAGGGATTTCTACGGATGCGGTTCTTGGACTGTTAGTTCTGGGGATACTGGCTTTAAGGATGATCGTCACAAAATGCCATGCCCTGGACTCAGAAGTAATTTTTTGGATCCAGGCTGTTGATACCTTTATTAGCAAGTAGCACTTGTAATGGTCTGGAATGTTGATTCTCCGGGACAGAGTGAAGAGGTCAGAGTAACTCATGAACCATGGTTTCTGACACTCCAAGAGATTGGGGGGCTGCTCTGAAGGGCAGATGTTTAAAAAGGAGCCTTTAACGTAAATCGGGGATCCTGTTGCTGACCCTGGTGGTTCACGCATCAAGTAAATATTATCAAAGAGTTTCAGGTGTCGGGTACGGAGTACTCAGCCCCGGGGACAGAAGTGGCAAGGGAGCTCCAGGTCTGGCTGGTGGGGCAGGTGTTGACTGAGAGGGGTGACAGCACAGGGGCTCTGGGAGTGCAGGGTGGTTGGGTAGGGTGAGGGCAGGTACCCCTAAAGAAGCCAAGACTCAGGCAAAACGGGTGTGAAAGGTAGTTCCGGGCATGAGGGAGCTGGAGCAGAGGCCGGCGTAGCGGGTGATAGTAGGTCATGAGGCCGAAGGGAGACGTGGGCCACCTCCTCCTTGGCCATGCTCAAGAATTTGGATTTTTTCCTGTGGGTAGAGTGGAAAGGTTTTAAATAGGAAGTCAACACTGTTGTGTCACTAGAGATGCAGGAGGGACAGTAAGGAGCTTGAAGGTAGTTGGAAGGTTTTTGCAGATGGTAAGGACCTCGGCCATGCAGGGGAATGACAAGGAAGGAAAGAACCCAAAGGATAATTTGGGAGTTCAGGTGCTGACCAGTAGTGGCATCAGGAATATCTTTGTGCCTTATGTGTCAAGATATGGACTCACCTGGCCGCTCAGGACAGGAGAGGTGGGGGAGAGATGCAGCTTCTGATGTAGGGAGGAGGTTTGGGGCAGTGGGCTTAGAGATGCTAACAACATAGCACACAGCTGGGAGTGCTTATCTGAAAGTTTCAATTTCTCTAATTTCAGGGTAAAATATGTGCGTAATCTAGAAGTAGGCTTTTCTTTTTCCCTGATCCTTTATCCAACGGAAGACACACTGTCGTTTCTTGGTGGCCACATGTGGGAGAAACATTTGCGAGTCAGCTAGCGTTCTCCAGGAGACCTCGCTTCTGTCTTTGGGGCTTGCTTTATGACAAGTGACTGTGCTCGCTGGAGGCCAGTGAGCCTACACACCGCGTTCTCCTAAGAGTGAGCCCTTACTCAAGGTGTGGAATCTTGTATAAGAATCTCTGGTATAAACAGGATTAATGAAAATAACCAAGCAGTTTTCTAGCGGTTTAGTAAGGCATGTGGGGTGCGGTACGTTTGGTTATGTTTTATCTTCTAACTGCCGACAAAGACCCTCAGGAGTGAGGGGACCGCAGACCACGGTGCTCACAGCTGTCCCCCTCTCCCCTGCCTAGATCACCACCGGCTACAACCTGGAAGATGACCGCTGTGAGTGTGTCGCCCTGCGGGACTTCCGGGCGGGAGAGCAGGTAGGTGGTGGAAGGTGGGCTGGCCAGTGGGCACGGGGTTAATAATGCGTTGATCGGCTTGAGAGGGTGTTAAGTCAGACCGAAAATGGGGGGGTATATGTATTTAGGACTGCTTAGGGAATACATCTTGTGACTTAAAGTTATAAGAAATGTACTGTGCTTTGGGTCCACAAAGAAAAAAATGGGAACACATGTATTTGCACAGTTGACCTAACATTTGTGATCCTGTCAACTGAAAATAAACTTTGTGTTATGACAGTAGAACACAGTTTTCAATTACATAAGCTGCATTGTTCTCTCTGTTGATCAGAACCTTGTTTATTTATAATGAGGCTGTTTATGTCGATGGCAAAAACAAGGGGACGGAGCCGTGGGTCGGGTACTCCACTTTAATTTGTGGATTTTTCTCCCCTAACCTGGGTGGGGGCAGGGCCAAGCCTTTCGGTATGTTTGAAAACGCGCATCTTTGAATGCTTGCTTTCTGCCCGTTGGGATTATGACCAAGCAGTTAATCCCAAAAAGCAGAACTGACGTCGACCGCCGACGTTCCAGCCAAGTCAAAACGAACGATTATCTTCTGACAAAGTGCTGACAGGCTCTTCCTGCAGAGGAGTTAGAGGCCCTCCTGCTAGGTGCCACAGCGTCCGATGGACGTTGTCTGAGACCTCGTTCCAGAAGAGACCCCTGTATCAGGAGGGGGGAGCGGTCGCGAACTGTCAGGTGCAGCCGTCAGGAACTAGTCTGGCTGTCCTGGGGACGGGGTGGGCAGGCAGGGAGCTCCGCGGCCTGGGCTCCTCTGGGAGGCAGCCCGGCGCCCGCGGTGGCGGGAGTAGACGCCCTCCGTCACCCGTCTCAGGCCGGGCAGCGGAGGGTTGCGGGACGGCAGGAAAGGCGCAGTCGCTGCAGGGCTGTCATGTGTCCCTAGTGGGAAGGCCAGTTGAAGTAGGGAACTGATCCGTCGCCCTACTCTGTGTCGAGAATGATGTTAAATTTCTCTTATATCCCTTTATTTTTTCTTTACCGCATCTCAGATTTACATTTTTTATGGCACTCGGTCAAATGCAGAGTTTGTGATCCACAGTGGTTTTTTCTTTGACAATAATTCACACGACAGAGTGAAAATAAAGCTGGGAGTGAGTAAGAGTGACCGGCTGTATGCCATGAAGGCCGAGGTCCTGGCCCGCGCCGGCATCCCCACGTACGTATAAAAATGCTCACCTCTTCCCTGTTGTGTTCCTTGAAGTGTTTCCGGTTGTGTAGTGTTTGGTTGGTGTGTTAACACAACTTCTCCAGAGTGGTTTGTCTCCGTGTCTTCGTCCCTGCTACACCGCACGTTTAGCCAGAGGCGCCGGGAGACTTAGCAGCGTTTTGAGAGAAAGCTCGTGGTGTCACTGGGAGCACTCACGGTCTGTTCCAGGGGATGCGGCCTGAGCTCCTCGTTCAGTTAAATAAATACTGTGGATCATTAGTGTCTTTCACCTTGAAAAGGTTAATGACCCGGATCAATTCGTTTCATTTAATGCTTTGCCACCATTAGTTTCTGTAATGAAGTCATGATCCCCAGTGATTTCAAGAATTTCTGGCTAAATTCTTGAGGATTTTCTTGCATTTGAGGTGCAAAATGATAAGACAAGAATTATGATTTATTAGTTCTCCAGGGATTGGAGGAACCATTCTTAATGAAAATGGATTATCCAGACCTGTTTTTATTGAACTTGTCAATATTTGATTAATGATTAAAATGTGAACTCAACATAACTTATTGCTAACATTTTTTAAGAACCACAGGCACACTTAAGTCTGTGAGTGTGTCGTGTGCACCAGAGGTGAAGGCTGGCGGAGGTGGCCCCGCCGTCCCCCGCGGGAGCCTGCCCTGTGTGCTTCCCGGGCAGCCAGGGCGGTACTGCGTGTGGTTCCGGCGCGGGGCCAGGCTGAGTCGCATGGGTCAGTGCCCCTTGAGGGTGACCGACCTGTTTCTTGGTTTGTCTGTTTCTCTTGTTTCCCTTTTGTTCGTTTGTCTTGTTTCTTAAGTTCCACGTGCGAGGGAGATCATACGGTGTGAGTGTGGAATGAAGGGCTCTCGCTTGCCAGGAGCAGGTGCCCAGGTGCCCAGGTCGGGGGACTAACGCGGCTCCTGCTTTTGCCAGGTCCAGTGTGTTTGCGCTGCACTGCACCGAGCCGCCGGTCTCTGCCCAGCTCCTGGCTTTTCTCCGCGTATTCTGCATGACCGAAGGTAAATGATGTCGGTGGGGGGCGGGGAGATGTTGACTTTTAAAAAAATTCATGAAGTGTAAATCATAGATTCAGATTAAAGATACACGTGTTAAACTAGAGCGCTTTTTGGAGAGAGGGGAGGATGGCACCGTTGCCGGAGTGGATCTGTTGGACTCTGGAAACGTTTTATTCAATCCTTGACACGTTGGCAATATTCATTTGTCATAAACAACGGATTCCCTATTGTGTTGGAAGAAAACTTAAAACATCCGGGATCGCCTGACTGCATGAAAAACTGTGTCTGTGGACGGGAGTCTCTCTCTCTCAACGGTGTGCTGACATCTGTGAGTGCCCCGGATGTCGTGGGGTCAGTGTGGTGTATGGGGGCCACAGGACTTCACTAGGCAACCGGCTCTGCTTTCCACATCCGAAACTGCCAGCAAGCTTTTTACAGTCAGGCATTCTGTCAGAGTCACTAACGCCGCAAACAGAGTCTGTTTACATCACAAAATGTTCTTGTCTGCAGCCTCTGCTTTCGGGTACAGAAAGTGTTAAATCTATGTATTGAGCCTCTACTTTTATGTTTGCTTAAGACAAGCCATTTGGGGTTTCTTATACTGAGATTTGACCTCTCGTGGTTGTGTTTTCCTTTTTTGTCTGAAAATTTACTCCCCCCTCCCACAAATCCCATGGTCCTGAGGTTTCACTTCTACTTTTTCTAAGTTCTTATTTAAATTCCAATTAGTTAACACACAGTGTACAACGTACAACATGGTGGTTCCCCTGTATGCGTGTGCTGATCACAGGTGCACTCCTTGATCCCCATCACCGATTTCCCGTCTCCCCCGCACCCCCCACTTCCTTTCTGGTAACCAGCAGTGTGTTCTGTAGAGTTAAGAGTCTGTTTCTTGGTTTATCTGTTTCTCTTGTTTCCCTTTTGCCCGTTTGTCTTGTTTCTTAAGTTCCATCTGCGAGTGAGATCATATCGTATTTGTCTTTCTCTGACTGACTTATCTCACTTAGCATTATACTTTTTAGCTCTGTCCGCGTTGTTGCAAATGGCAAGATTTCATTCTTTTTGATGGCTGAGTAATATTCCACGGTGTATATATACCACAGTTTCTTTATCCATTCATCAGGCTGTGGACATTTGGGCTCTCTCCATAGTTTGGCTGTTGTAGATAATGCTGCTGTATACATTGGGGCGCCCATATCCCTTTGAATTAGTATTTCTGTATTCTTTGGGTAGATACCTAGTAGTGCAGTTGCTGGGTCATAGGGTAGTTCTAGTTTCAACTTTTTGAGGGACTTCTATACTGTTTTCCACAGTGTCTGCACCAACTTGTGTTCCCACCAACAGTGCACAAGGGTTCCCCTTTCTCCACATCCTCACCGACACACGTTGTTTCTTGTGTTGTTAGTTTTAGCCATTCTGACAGGTGTGAGGTGGTATCTCAATTTGGTTTTGGTTTGCATTTCCCTGATGGTGAGTGATGTTGAACATCTTTCCATGTGTTTGTCGGCCATTTCCATGCATGTCTTCTTTGGAAAAATGTCTATTCATGTCTTCTACCCATTTTTAAACTGGAATATTTATTTTTTGGGTGTTGAGTTTGTTCTTTATATATTTTGGATACTAACCCTTTACCAGATATGTCCTTTGGAAATATCTTTCTCCATTCATTAGGTTGCCTTTTACTTTTGTTGACTGTTTCCCTTGCTCTCCAGAAGATTTTTATTTTGTTGAAGTCCCAATAGTTCATTTCTGCTTTTGTGTCCCTTGCCTCAGAAGTTGGTATGGCTGATGTCAAAGAGGTTGTTGCCTGTGTTCTTCTCTAGGAGTTTAATGGTTTCCTGCCTCACGTTTGGGTCTGTGATCCATTTTTTTTTTTTATAATTTTATTTTTTATAAACATATATATATATTTTTTTTTCCCCCAGGGGTACAGGTCTGTGAATCTCCACGTTTACAAACTTCACAGCACTCGCCATAGCACATACCCTACCCAATGTCCATAACCCCCCCCCAACCCCCTGTGATCCATTTTGAGTTTACTTTTGTGTGTGCTCTAAGAAGGTGGTCCACTTTCATTCTTTGGCATGTTGCTGTCCAGTTTTCCCAGCAACATTTGTTGAAGAAACTGTCTTTTAACATTGAATATTCTTTCTTGCTTGGTCAAAGATTAATTGACCATGTAGTTGTGGGTTCATTTCTGGGTTTTCTCTTCTGTTCCATTGATCTTTGTGTCTGTTTTTATGCCAGTGCCGTGCTGTTTTGATTACTGCGGTTTTGTAGTATAACTTGAAGTCCACAGTTGTGATGCCTCCAGCTTTGTCTTTTCCGTGATTGCTTTGGCTCTCCGGGTCTTTTGTAGTTCCAAACACATTGCAGGGTTGTGTGTGCTAGCTCTTGTGAAAGATGCTGCTGGCCTTTTGATAGGGACAGCACTAAACGCGCGGATTGCTGTGGGTAGTATGCACACTTTAACAGTATTTGTCTTCCCAGTCCACGGACATGGGTTGTCCTTGCTTTTTTTGGCGTCTTCCTCAGTTTCGTACGTGTTCGCTGTTTCTGAGTACTGATCATTTGCCTCTTCGGCTAGGTTTCTTCCTAAGTATCTTACTGTCTTCAGCGCAGTTGTAAATGGGATTGGTTGCTTAATTTCTCTTTCTGTTGCTTCATTATTGGTGTATGGAAACGCAGCAGATTTTTGTATGTTGATTTTGTATCCCGCAACTTCACTGAAACCACTTACCAGTTCTAGCGAGGTTTTGGTGGAGTGTTTTGGGTTTTCTATATATAGTATCATGTCTTCTGCTAATAGTAAAAGTTTTACATCTTCTTTGCTAGTTTGGATGCTTTTTATTTCTTTCTGTTGTGTGATTGCTGTGACTAGAACTTCAGGACTATGTTAAATAACAGTGGGGAGAGTGGACATCTCTGTCTTGTTTCTGACCACACAGGAGAACCCCTCAGTGTCTCCCCATTGAGGGTGATGTTAGGTGTGGGTCTTCCATGTACGGCCTTCGTGACGCTGAGGTTTGCTCCCTCTAAACCCTTGTTGAGGGATTGTTACGGTGAAAGGATGCTTTGCTTTGTCACATACGTCTTCTGCATCTGGTGAGAGGATCAGATGGTTCGTACCCTTTCTTTTATTAATGTGGCGCATCACGTTGATTGATTTGTGAATATTGAACCACGCTTGCAGCCCAGGAATAAATCCCAGTTGATCATGGTGAATGATTCTTTTAATGTACTGTTGGATTCGATCTGCTGGCATTTTATTGAGAATTTTTGCCTCCATGTTCGTCAGGGATACTGGCCTGTCGTTCTCTTTTTCTGTGTTGTCTTTATTAGGGTAATGCCAGCCTCATAGAATGAATTTGGAAGCTTTCCTTCTTTTGATATTTTTTTGATAGTCTGAGAGTAAGTATTAACTCTTCTTTATATATTTAGTAGAACTCACCTGTGAGGCCCTCTGGCTCTGGACTTCTGTTTTTTGGGAGACTTTTGATGACTGATTCAATTTCTTTGCTGGTAATTGGTCTCTTTAATTTTCTATTTCTTCCTGTTTCAGTTTTGGTAGTGTCTTTCAGTTTTATGTGTCTAGGAACTTATCCATTTCTTCCAAATTGTCCAATTTGTTGGCCTGTAATTTTTCATAATATTCTCTTAAGAGTGTTTGTATTTCTGTGGCGGTGGTTACATCTCCTCTCTCGTTCGTGATTTTACTTACTTGGGGCCTTTTTCTGTTCGGTAAGTCTGGCTAGAGGTTTAGCGGTTTTATTAATTTTTTCCAAACAACCAGCTCCTGGTTTCATTGATCTGTTCTATTGTCTTCTGTTTTTGTTTTGTTTCTATATCGTTTATTTCTGCTCTGATCTTTATTATCCCCTTCCCTGAGGTTTCACTTGTGATTGTGTGTGTGTGTGTGTGTGTGTGTGCGCGCGCGCGCACACGCGTGCGTGTGTTTGCTCTTGTAAACTAACTTAAATCCTATGCAAACCAGATTGGGTAGGAAGAAGTGAGCAAGTGAGTTACCGTCTGACCGAACAGTCACTCCTCCGCAGGAAGCTGCCCTAGCGGCCGGGAAAGGATTGGTCTGCAGAGGCAAACTGTGGCCTGTGGCGGGGAGTCTGCTGGGCTCTGTGGTCCTCGGCCCCCTGTCCTCACGTCTGGATGCAGGAGAAATGCTGGCCAGTCCAGGGTTTGACATCAGGGTGGAGGTGGTTGAGACCGTCCCCAGACACAGGCAGCGCAGACGCCGACTACAGAGCCCACAGAGCGGCAAGATGGCACTTGTCCCTTCTGAGCGGCCACATTGCCAGAGACTCACTGCCCCTCAAGTTAGAGCTTCCGATGGGTGTGTACTTTGGGGCCCATCGATTCAGTTTAGCGAACCCGAGTCAAGGGTGTCCTGTGGGCTCTTCTTGCATACGAGGCAAGGTAGAAAATCGAAGGTCACAGTTCATATCCTGAAGGAGTTTATAGCTAAGAGAGATGACGGTGATACTCGTCCCTGTCGTTTGTGATGGTGCTCAGCATGCTGCAGACTTAATGTTCATTCCTGTGAGGCTTGTGGGGCGTGACTGATGCAGGAAGTCTGGTTCGCAGAGCAGGAGTGACCTGGCCCTCAGCAGGTGGAGGCCCCACGCCAGGACCTGGCGCTCCTCACCCAGAGCCTACGTCCCAGGCATCCCATGTGGCTCCTGCTAGTTTACAAAGAACAGGATCCGTGGAAGAGATCCTGGTACTCCGGGGGTCTAGACGAACCAGGGTTTGACACGGAGCCAGGCTGAGGAGCGAGGGCACCGCCCACTCTCTGGGGTGACCACACGAGCGCTCCTGTGGTGCCGGGCGAAGGCGCAGAGCCCCCGTGGGGACAGAGAGGATCTGTCAGGGCTTTGTTAGCTGCAGGCAAGCAGGGGAAGGGGCTACTCACGAAGCCTCCGGTCACATGGTGACGCAGCCTCACGTCCCCCTGTGGGGTTTCATGTCCCCAGTAGAGTGAGTGAGCCCAGTTTCACTGTTAAAAGTAGCAGAGAGAGAAGGCTCTGCTCCTGCCCCTTGGTTTTCCAGTGCTGAGGGCAGCACCTGGGTGGGCTTAGGAAGAAAACAAAACCGGTGACCTTGGTGAGGGGGCTTCTGAAAAGAACTCTCTACCACTGAGGAAGCATGTTTAAAATTTTCAGGGCTTTATATAAACTAGGATCCAAAATATAAAACCCCTGAGTTTTATCATGATCTTCTGCTAACAAATGCCACTTAATAAATCTCCCTTTTGAACATTAGATTAACTTATTTTTTCCTTAAGAAACAAACGGCTGGAACCCTTGTAGGTCTGCTCATTGTCTTTCGTGTCTCTTTAGTCATAGAAAGACAATTCGTCATGTCAAGACAATTGATGTATTCTTCTTTGAATTCCTCTAATACTAATAAAAGTTTGGTTTGCTGGCACCACATTCTTCAGTTTGAATTGTAAATAGTGACAGCTGTGGGGCATCGTGCTCGGAAAGGGATAGTGTCTCATAATTACATAAGGAGTCGGGGCGGATTTCCTGAGCATGAACAGGATCGGCATGTTTGGGTCTCGAAGATAATGTGCCGGGAGCGGAAGTGCTCCGAGCGCTTGCTCAGTCCTTTCCTCTTCTTAAATATGTTTCAAGGTAATTGAGATGTTCACTGGTGTTTATTTGTAATTTCCGTTTAAATTCCTGACAAGTGAGGGATAGAGGTGCATTTTTTATTAAGGTTTTTCTAGTCCATTTTCTTATTTCTTTCAGTTTGTGGTTTATGTGTTGTAAGAGGAGATAAAGAGCTTTGTTGGGTCCCCTGCTGCCGTGAGCACCAGTCTGATTTAAATTTAGAAGGGTCGCTGGATCGCGGTGCCGTCACCTGTTCGTACTGTTTACATTGTGCACTGGGACGTGTGTCTGACCCCGCTGGTGTGACTGAGCGCATGGTGTGCGAGCCCGCTGTGGTCAGCATAGGGGATGTGTCCCTGTAGATTGTCCTTAAAATGTATCTTATGAAACTGTCTAAAAGCCTCAGTGTCCCTCATAAAGGCGACAAGGGATGGAGGGCCGCGCCAAGGCTTGGTCGGGACCCCGACTCAGGCAAGCTGGGCCTGACTTTCTCTGGAGAGCCTGCGATGGCCAGGCCTGTCGATCCGGGGGAGCTTTTTGCCACAGGAGGGTGACGTCGCTGGGGAAGATCTTTTCCAAGGTGGGCTGCTTGTTAAAATGAGAAGCCGTGCTGTTTCCTCCCTCACAGATGGCTGTTTGTATTTCTGCAGAAGAATTGAAGGAACATTTGCTGGGAGATAATGCTCTTGACAGAATCTTCACGTTGGGTAATTCTGAATATCCTGTTAGCTGGGACAACGAGGTCAGACTTTGGACATTTCTTGAAGATCGAGCCTCGCTTCTTTTAAAAACATACAAAACAACTATTGAGGTAATTCGATGGCTTCAATGAGGATTTGAGCTTTGGCATGTTTTCGGGGATTTTTAGAAGAGATTCCGTCCTAAATGTAACTGGCTTTTGTCAGCAAAATCGTTGTATATCTGACATTTTTCATTCAACTTATTAATATTTTCCTACTTAACACATTTATACTTGACCAAAAGAATTCTATTGAGGCGTTGTTGGCTAGAAGGAGAATCTTCAAAATGATTCAGCACTTCTCTGGAATTTTGAGTTTTCTTTTGTGCTTTCCAGGTTTACCATTGCACTACTAACTTCACACGTTCCTCCTTCCTTCCTTCCTTCATTCAGCCCATCGCTGAGCCCTGGGGCTGGCAATGCATGAGACAGACAATGGAACCATTTTTATTTTTATTTTTTATTATTATTTTTAATGATTTTATTTATTTATCTGACAGACAGCACAAGTAGGCAGAGAGGCAGGCAGAGAGAGAGGGGGAAGCAGGCTCCCTGCTGAGCAGAGAGCCCGATGCGGGGCTCGATCCCATGACCCTGGGATCATGACCCGAGGCGAAGGCAGAGGCTTAACCCACTGAGCCACCCAGGCGCCCCGTTTGGAACCATTTTTAAATAAGCCAAGTTCCTTGTCAGATGTGGTGGGACCCCATTTGATTTAGGCTCACCGTTTTGGTTTTATGATCACTTTCTTGGGGTGTAATTTAAATACAACACAACGTATGCTTCTAAAGTGTACAATTTGATAATAGCGCATAGTCCTGCAGCCACCGCCATGGTCAAGTTCTAGAACCTTCTGTCACCCCTTGCATTTCCCTCGTGTCCCCGTCCCTGGCAACAACTGATTGGCCTTCTGTCGCTGTGCTTTTGCTGATTTAGGCTTCTTATAATTAATTTTGCTCATTTTCATTTCCCAGGAAGACAAATCCTTCCTGAAAGACCACGACCTTTCTGTTCGTGCAACAATGGCCATCAAGCTGCGCTTAGGAGAAAAGGAGATTTTGGAAAAAGCGGTGAAGAGCGCAGCCGCAAACCGGGAGCACTACCGCAAGCAGATGCAGGCGGGGGCCGCACTGCCCCGGTGTGAGGAGAGCGGCGCGGCGGGCGCCAGGCTGCCCCTGGCCTTGCGGAACCTGGAGGAGGAGGCCGGCGTGCAGGAGGCCCTCACCCTCACGGAGGCCGTCAGCAGGGCGAAGGCCGTGGAGAACGGGCTCGTGAACGGCGAAAACTCTATCCCCAACGGGACCAGGTCAGAAAAGGAGAGTTTAAGTCAGGAGGAAAGTAAAAGAGCGACGGAAGGCACCAAAGAATGTTCTTCGGACAGCACGGAGGGCGGGAGCGCGCAGTAGCCCGGAGAGGGCGCCGTCGGCGGGGAGTGCGGTTCACGAACCGTCCCTGTACGTGCTGTGTTTTCTTGTTCACGTTCTTCTTTCTGCAGAGAGGAAAAGAGGTTTTTGCTGCTTTATATAAAAATGATTTTTTTTTAAGTTATTTAAAAAAAATCTAGCTTCCCTCTTTAAGATTGCCATCTCGCTTCTGGGCAAAACAAGTTATCAAGCCACCACGAGGTGCTTTGGAAGATTCTGTAGACCCATTGTGGGCAAATGTGTTTTCTTCCTGGGGAAGAATGCGTTCTGCTGTCAGCTGTGCTTTTGTGGGCCTGTCATCCTGACAACCGGGAGAGCCGCTCTGCCTCCTGCCAGCAGGACTGGGTGGCGGCACTCTGGGGGCTCGGCGGGGGCGGCGGGGTAGTTGCACAGCACAGAACGGCCTTGGGGTTTGGCAACTTGAGGGTCGGGGGAAAACCTTTTCCCCCCCCAAAAAAAAACAACACCCTGGTACTGAAGGAAAAGTGAAGGTGGCAACCTTATTTTTAATAGTTTTAAATGTTGATGATAATCCTAATTATATAAAGACACACACACACACACATCTAGTGATTTCTAAAGATTCATCTACCTTTTGTGTTTTGTTTTACTGTGTTAAGAACTCGTCCTTCCTCCTTGAATCACAGTAGGACGTGCATCATTCTGATTTTCAGTGTCGACTCTGATTTTAAGGTGTTGCGTTTGATTTCCCGCGTCGTCCTGGAGCGGCTGCGCACGGCGGCCGCCCCCAGCTCGCCGTGGCGGTGTTCGAAGTGAGGCGGCTCCCTGGCTTTTCTGGTTTTCACAACAAGCTAGAGATTTTCAGAGCTACACTTTTGAGTAAAAAGCCTTATTAAAAGGAAAACATGATTAATATTTTCTGTCTATTCCTTTTCTTTAAGTGGGGACAGGGCCTTTGAACTGAGCCTCGATGCAGGCATCCTGCTTGCTCCCGGAGCCCGCTGGAGCCCGTGTGAATGGGCCTGCGCCCGAGCTGTGCCTGCCCCGGGGAGGCAGAGGTGCGGGCGGGCCTGAGGTCGCAGCTCCCCGGCCTGCAGGGGCTGCCTGGGGAGGGCCTGGCGGCAGCAGGCACACACCAGCGGAGCGCTCTCACGTTTTTGGGGAGGCCAAGGCCCGGGATGGTGAGCCCCGAAAGCCCCCAGTTCTCAGGCCGCGGACGGCCAGTCTTCCTCAGCTGTGAGTTCGCACATGGTCTCTGAGGTCCTGACTGTGAAGGGCATCACTCCCGAGTGAATTATTAGCCCCACCGTCTTGCTGACCAGTGCTGCACGCAGGTCGTCTTACGAACCTCTCCCCGTTTCTCCTCGGAGAAGACGCGGGTCTGCAGATGAGTTGCTTAATCCTGCGCGAGGACGTGTTGTCTCCCAGAGCCCAGGGGGTGGTTAGACACGAGGGGCAGGTGTCACTCTTCCACGCCGCTGGCAGCGTCTTCCCGTGTGGGCTGACGCCGGTAACTCGTCGTCGATGGGCCTGCAGCTCCCACCTGCAGCTCCGCCCCGGACGGCAGACTCGCCCGCCAGCTCGCATCCGAGCGCTTCCCCAAGATGCGCGGAGCCTGTAAAACCCACAGGTCAGCTTCCGAACGGCAGTGCTGCGCATTTGAGGCGCTGTCTGCTCCGGCGTCGAAGCCCCCCGGAGACCAGGACTTTGATCACCGATATGTCTGTAGATATATTTTCTCGTTGGTTTCCAGGTTAAGTCTTGGATTAAATACATCCTTGGAAAAATTATGTACAACTGAGATGTAAAATAGTGTCATGAGATCGGGTGGTCGTCAGAATATTCCCCGGAAAAGACGCGAGTCCAGACGGAGCCGGCAGAGCTGTGGGTGGGAGTCGGGCTTCAGGTCCTGGCCCGCACCGCACCGCTGATGGGGCTCGTCACAGCCCCCGGGACTCTGTTTCTTCTCTTACCTTGCACGGCGATTCTCAGAAGTCCCTGCTTAAAAATTTGAAGATTGCTCTGACCACTAACTCCCCCAGTGGCAGGTCTGTTTGTCCAGATAATTGGACCCAAAAGTGATTATATAAATTAGGCTCTGATTCAAGGACAGTCTTTGCCTTTGTGACCTAGAAACGGCGCTCATAAGAACAGAACTCTTTTTTTGTTTTTTAAAGATGTATGTATTTGAGAGAGTGTGAGTGAGCACACAGAGGGAAGGGGAGATGCAGACGCCCCGCTGAGCAGGAAGCCCAACATATGGAGGCCCATCCCAGCACCCCAGGATCATGACCGGCTGAGCCACCCAGGCGCCCCAAGGGCAGAACTTTTTGCGGTGGGAGGACAGAGTATCTGTCGAACAACCTCGCTTCCCTGAGTTGGCCGGACGTGCCCTCGGCCGACGGGGAGGCCACAGCACACGTTAGTCACCCTCCTGCCCCACTTGGGCGCCGCAGAGCCAATGCTGGTGCACCAACACTTGGAACCATGGCTCAAGCATTTGAAAATTGAGGAAAAGTGATTAAATTGGCATTGAAGAACTCTCATGGCCATCTGTCATGAAGATAGACCTTTCTCTCAAATCATTTTAACAAAGTTTACTTTTTCCTTAATGCCTTTGGATATGAGGCTGTTCAGGCTAGGCTCTGGACGGATGCCAGCCTCTGCTTCTGTTTCTCAGCTTTGTGTGTTATTTGTGTAAACACTTAGCAATTAGATTTCACCAGCCTAGAAAAACCACCCAGTTTCTCCACGCAAACTGGCAATTGATAGGTGACTTCCCCCAATAGTTCCTAGAGCAGGCTCACAACGGCGTCTGTATGTATGTATGTATGTATGTATGTATTTTGAGAGAGAGAGATAGGGTAAAACATTAAAAATATTCTCAGGTTCCCAGTACGATGCACAGGGTTATGCTGAATTAAGCCTCCACTAAACGTAATGATTTTTCTGTAAATTGTGACTTACCGTATTTCTATGGTGGTTAGTATGTACTTATTGGAGTGAAAGAATTGAGAAAAAAAAACCCAAAACCCAAAACCGAAGAAAGTACCTGTGACTTGAGCTTAGCACTAAAAACAGGACTGTCCGTAAAGAAAATGAGGAGTCATCGTGGCGTCTGGTTTGGGGGGTGAGTTTCAAAAAGCCCAGATCTTGAAGTGCTGTAACCATGGCTACGGGAAGAAGCTTTTTACGTGATATACTGTGCCGTGTTCATATTACTGATCTGGCAAACCGGCCCGTTCAGTCGGGTATAGCGGATGCCCCGAGCCAGGATTTGGGCTCAGTCAGCTTTGCATGTCAGCTTCAGGCAGCACAGAGAAGAATCCAGTCGCCTCTCCAGGGTCAGCCGATTGTTTTCATCCGCAGCCCCTTACGTAATGTAGCCCGAAAATCCTGGGCGTAAACTGAAATTGAGTAACTGGGATTGTATTTAAATGCACTGGCGGACGGGCGCTGCAGTGCTGGTCCTGGGTGCGCCAGGCTGAGGAGGAGGAAGTCGTGATGTCCCCGGAGCAGGGGGCGGTGGGCCCAGTCACAGTCTCCACAGAGGCACAGCAGGGGCCATTGGGTGGGGAGGCAGAGGGCCCCCGAGGGAGGGAGCACTTTCTCAGGACACCCACGAGGGTGACCCTGGTGAAGACGGTGTTCTAAACGTCCCGGTGCTCTGGTTTACTACTGGCTTTGGGGAGGCGTGGGGAGGCCATCCGCGGTGGCTCAGGGCGTAGATTCCAAACACAGACCCGGGTTCTTCTAGCCACGGGACCAGGCACAGCCCTTGGACGTGTTCTTACCCTCCTGTAGGGTATCCGTGCTTCCAGTCCCTCCCAGGTCCGGGCCCAGCAAATGAGCTCATACACAGGCTGGTGACCTGCTGAACATTTAGGAAATGTGTGTTACTGCCCTGCTCTAAGTCTGAGCCTTCATCAGGACGCAGGAAATGTTCAGGGGACTGCAGGTAGCAAAAATGATCCCCGCTCTGCCGACACGCAGCTTGCCTCTGTCCGTGGGTTTGAGGAGCTTCCGACCCGGGCTCAGCGGGAGTTGTGACCCTGATGCAATGGCAGCTCCTGTGAGTAATTCAAGATTCCCAGGAAACCCTTGGCTGCCCTCGAGGTGGGGCAGCCGCTTGAACAAAGGATCGGGGCCGACCCTGCCACGTGTCATTAGAGGGGTGGACTGTGCTCTGGTATTCAGGGGGTGGGGAGGGGGGAGAAATGCCAGAGGGAGGACCTCCGACGGGCTGTTCGGGGTCTGTGCACCCTGCGGCGGGGACAGGGAGAGCCAGGAGGTCCCCACTCGGGAGGGATCCCGCAGGGACTGAATCCCGAAGCCTGTGCCCAGCTGCCAGCAGGGGTTTTACGGACTTGGAATGAAGAAGCTTCTTTCGGTGGAAGGAGGGGCGATCGCCAGCCCCGTGAGACACAGGTGCCGCCTCTGGTGTCTCCTTCAGAAGCAGGAAGGCAGAGAGGCCTGTGTTTGTGGACTCAGAGCACGATTTCTGGAGTCGGGGGCGTTCACGCAGGTCGTCACACTCGTATCGGCTTCGGCTCCCACGTGCTCGTGTGTGTGTGCATACATTTTAGGATGCAAGCATGCACACGCGAACGTACGCATACGTGCACACGGCTGCGTGTGTGCGTGCGTGCGCGTGTGCAGCACTCTGTCAAGACGCGCATTTTCACGTCCAAGCAGTAGAGAGCCCCGGGCACAGCCTGGGCCCGCCGCACCCCTGCTCGCGGGCACGCTCACCGAGGCCGTGCAGGTGGTGCTCCGCGGCCGTGCCGGCTCGGCCCCGCACCCCCGGTGTCTAGCTTAGGAACCGGCCCCTTGGGCATGCCCTGTACGGCTCCCCCACGAAGCGGACGCCTCCTCCTCCTGCCACCAGGTTGGCGTGGAGTCTCACCCCTTGTTTCCTTCTGCACCCCGACCCTTCCAGAGTGTTCCAGTAGAAGAGGACCGTGTTGTGGCTTGAACCTCAGAGCAGCCTTTCCTGTCTGAACAGTGCAGGGCCCTGGAGAAGCTACTTCTAGGCTGACCAGGGCTGCTGA